TGTGACCAGTTTGCTGAATATGTGTCCCTTTTCAAAGTGGATGTGGAGAAGCTTGGAGCTGGGAGCTCACGGCACACAAAACCTCAGCCTGGCTTTGTCTGACTTCTCTACCTTTATTCTCCCATTGACCCAATTTTCTTATAGACTTTTATTTAAATTTAAAATGGATTAATTTATATTTTGAATAAGTAATACACTTACATGGTTCATACATTTTTTTTTTTGAGTTGGAGTCTCACTCAGTCGCCCAGACTGGAGTGCAGTGGCACGCTCCCGGCCACCACAGTCTCGACCTGCTGGGCTCTGGCGATCCTTCCGCCTCAGCCTTCCAAGTAACTGGAACTACAGGTGTGCGCTACCATGCTCGGCTAATTTTTTTTTTTATTTACTGTAGAGATGAGGTCTCGCCAAGTTGCCCAGACAGGTCTTGAGCCCGCGGACTCAGGCAATCCACTCACCTCGGTTTCCCAAAGCACAGGATTACAGGCTGAGCCACTGAGCCCGGCCGGTTCATGCATTTTATAATTATGAAATGCTAGCATGTGAAAAGTCTCCCTCTCACTTCTGTTCCACTCACCCAGCTCCCACTCCCACCCCCCCATGGGTGACCATAGTTAGAAGTTTCTAGACAATCTCCCTTCCAGGGAACTTTCAGGCATAAACATGTGTATAAATATATATCACGCATATATATTTACAGACAAATATGTGTTCCTTTCCCCTTTCCCCAAAAGTAGTGTTGTACTTTACACATTGTTCTGTAATTTTATTTTTGTCATTTATCAATATATCTTGGATTTTTTCAAATCAGTACACAAAATAGTTCCTCATGATTATTTTACAGTATTTAAATTTTAAAATACTGTAAAATAATAATGCAAGTATTTTATAGTATAACTGTATCATAACTTATTTCCTGAACTATGTTTTTTAATTTAATGATCTCTTCTGCCGGCAGTTTAAGTAATAGTCAAAAAACCAAGTTTGGAATTAGGATGAAGTTTGAATCCCACTTCCTCTACTCACTTGCTGTGTGAACATTGGCAAGTTATTTGATCTCTCTGTGTCTCAGTTTCATTAACTGTAAAATGGAGTGATAATAGTGTCTAACTCAGGAATAAGTAAATGAGCTGATAAGGGTTAATGTATGGAACAGAGCCTGGCACAGGGTTTGATATTTGTGTTCAAAGTTATTGGGTATCTCTTTAGCTGCCTTGAAATTATTTGAATTAAGTGAGTTATGAGTCAATAAATAAAACCATGTGACTCCTGCTACATTTTCCATCCTATATTTATATTTTGTGCTCCTCGATTCTTATACATTAGGTTAAGAAGCTAAAAGCTTTCAAGTAAAGAAAATATGGAAAGTCATGCTGTGTGTAGAACTGCAGAGCTCTGGCAGGAATTCAGTCTTGTTGCATGTAGAGCTGCCATTATGTTTGGGGGGAAAGCTCAGGGGCACAAATGTGATCCCTGGCTTGCTGTGCAACCTCATGTATGAATAATTAGCAAGAAGGACTCTAATAGCCAAAGAAATTAGCCATAGTCACCTGATCTCCTTTTATAAATATTTTCAGAAAACACTTCCAATTTTTAAACTGCTTTTTCTCACAAAATCTAGTCATTTTCCCCAAGAGCTTGTATTAGGCACTATTATACCATCTTTTTATTTTTTGATTTGGGTAAAAGTGACCAGTGAACAATAATTTACTTCAGCTCCTCAAAATACATTTTTTCTTGATTTATTAAAAATGCTACTCTCATTAGTTATCCATAGATTCTCTAACAAATTTTAGGTAGCTTCTAATGACTACTTGTATAAAATTTCATAACTTTCATAGTTTTGCTTTGTGTATGAACCTCAATAAGAATACTGGAAAGAGTCCCCTGGATGTGTAGATGCCAGAAAATAGTTGTCCACAGCAAATGTCCAGCACAGATCTGAAAATATGTAGATTGACTAGATTGCTGATACATCTCTGTTCAATCTAATGATCTGTTCATTTTAAGGAGAGAATAACCTCAGGAAAGACATGAGTATGCAGCAGAACCTCCAACACGCCTAACAACTGCACATGTTCATGATAAATTTGAGGTGCATGTATTGTGTGTGATGTGCACAAGAGATGATCCAGGACGCCTTGCACAGCAACAAGTTCTGCAGCAGTTCACCATCATCAGAAGTATCTGGACACAGATGGTAACCACTATCTGTACCTCTTATAAGTGCAGAAGTCAAACATGACTTGTATTCATCTTTTGTTATTGGTATATATTGAATATTATAATTTTAATGCAGTTATTTTCCTTTCTTAAAATGTACATACATTTTTTGGCACCCTCTGTATTTATGTATTATATTGTACATAATATAAAAATTATTGGCTCTGGCTGGGCACGGTGACTCAGCCTGTAATCCCAGCACTTTGGAAGGCCACGGTGAGTGGATTGCCTGTGCCCGTGGGTTTGAGACCAACTCGGGCAACTTGGCGAGTCCTCGTCTCTACAATAAATAAAAAATTAGCTGGGCGTGGTAGCGTGCACCTGTAGTTCTGGCTACTTGGAAGGCTGAGGCAGAAGGATTGTCAGAGCCCAGCAGGTCGACACTGGAGTAGCAGTGAGCATGCCACTGCACTCCAGCCTGGGCGACAAGAGTAAGATTCCAACTCAAAAAAAAAAATATTGGTTCTGCATCTTTGGGTAAATGTTTACTATTACTAAATTTGTAATGGGGTGCTGTTCTAACAACTACAGATGCTCCTCAACTTAAGATGGGGCTATATTCCAATAAACCCATCATAAGGTGAAAATGCATTCAGTATACCTAACCTACCAAACATTGTATTTTAGCCTAGTCTACCTTAAATGACTTCAGAACACTTACATTAGCCTACTCTTGGGCAAATTCATTAAACACAAAACCTACTGTACAATAAAGTGTTGAATATCTCATGCAATTCATTGAATACTATACTGAAAGTAAGAAACAGAACGATTGCATGGGTACTCAAAGTACAGTTTCTACTGAACGCATGTTGCTTTTGCACCATTGTGAAGATGAAAAATACGAACTCAAACCATTGTAAGTTGGGATCGTCTGAAATTAAAATGTGGGAACAACTTTGGGACTGGGCAATGGGTGGAGGCTGGAAGAATTTTATGCAGTATAATAGAGAAGGCCCAAATCACCATGAACAGACTGTTAGAAATATGGGTGTTAAAGGTACTACTGATGAGGACTCTGAAAGGAGTGAGATATGTGATATAGGAAAATGGAGGAAGGAGAATCTTTATTATATAGCGGCAAAAAAAATTGAGTGCAATTGTCCATAGAAAGCAGGACCTGTAGGCTGGGTGTGGTGGCTTATGCCTATAATCCCAGAACTGTGAGAAGTTGAGGCATGAGGATTACTTGAGCTCGGGAGCTCAAGACCAGTCTGGGCAACACAGTAAGACCTCATCTCCACTCAAAATCAAAAAAATTAGCCAGGTGTGATAGAGTGAGCTTGTAGTCCCTACTACTTGAGAGGCTGAGACAGAAGGATCACTTGAGCCCACCAGGTTGAGGCTATGCCACTGCACTCCAGACAGGGCAACAGAGTAAGACGCCGACTCAAAATATAAAATAAATAAATAAAAGAAAACAGGGCTTGCAAGCGATAATGTTGGCTATATAGCTAAGGATATTTCCAAACAAAGTGTCAAATGTGTTCCCTGATTTCTTTTTGTTGCTTATAGTAAAATGGGAGAGGAGGCAGATAAACTGAGGGAAGAGCCACTAAACAAAAAGGAGCCACTACCTGATGCTTTTGAAAATCTTTAGCCTCATCAGATAATGCTAAAGATGCCAGAAATTAAAGAATTCTCCTGCTGAGCATGAAGAAGCAAGACACCAGGAGTCCCACAGCTTCAAGGAAATCAATTCCACCAACAAACGTGTGAGCTTAGCAAGAGCCCTGGGCCTCAGCTGAGACCCTGGCCCTGGCCAACACCTTGATTATAGCCTTGTGTCACTACAAGGTGAGGGCCCAGTTAAACAATACTCTGACTCCTGACCCATGAAAAACAAAGAGATAATAAATGTATTTTGTTTTAACTGTTCATTTCATGGTAATTTGTTATATACACAGCAGTAGAAAACTGATAATATATCTTAGCATTTATATACCCTGGGAAGAACAAATAATCCCAAGCTTAAGACTTCTGAGTATAGTGTATTGTGTTCATCATAAGGATTTAGCATTTTGCAATAACTTTTGGATTTCTACCTCAGAAAATACAGAGTAATTTATTATTTTCTGAATGCTATCAGCAGAAGACCACGAATCAACCAAGATATTTACTATATACCTGCAAGGATAATTTTGCCAGCACAGAGAGTATAATTTTGCCTATGATGGAATGGTCTAGAACAGGCATGTCCAACCTGCAGCCTGCAGGTCACATGTGGCCCAGGACAGTTATTAATACAGCCTCACAAAAGCTTTTAATATCATGTATTTTTAGCATTTATTTTCTTCGTGACCCCATGCATAGTTCCATTTTTGAAGTTCACCATCATGCCTTATTCATGACATCGCTTTTTGATAGCACATGCATTTGTGAGCCGCTGCTTTCAATTATGAAGCACACAAAGAGCAAATCTGAACACTTTCGATGAGCACCTTGAGAACTCACTAAGAATTGGGACCACTTCCACTGAACCAAACATTGATAGATTAGTTTTTTAAAAACAAGGTCAAATTTTCCAATAGTTTTATATTGTTCTCATTTTTCTAAACTTTATAATAAAAATACAAAAAAGAGGTCTTATTATGTATGTACATCAACTATATTATATAATTTATTGCAGTCCAAGACAATTTCTCTTTACCTGACGTGGCCTGGGAAAGCCAAAAGGCTGAACATCACTGGTCTAGACGCTGTGACCACAGTTTTTCGGCGATGCTCTCATACACTAACTCAGAGATGTTTGGGCTGCAGCTGGAGGCAACACTCACCTGTGTTTAATCCAGGTATCAGACTCGTTGGCTCGGTCTGTGTAGTTTTCCGGCAGGAAGCCCCGGCAGCCCGTCCGCTGTGAGGTCCCAAACACCCAGCCCTCGCTGGCTTCCTCCTGCTGTGTGGGGTCCACAAAGATGTAGTCTCCAGGCCTCAGCGTCAGCTCATCCACGTTCTGAGGTTTGTACTGGAACAGTGCCCTCAGAGTCTATAAGGGAGGTAAGCAGGCAGTCTCACGTCTCAAGAAAGATTTGTGTGGGAAAACACAAGTTATATGTTGTCTCCTGCTTTCTGGGTCCTCTGATGTGTTCTGTGTCTCCAACACCATCCAGATTCTGCCCAGCGATATATAGCATGGAATATAATAAGATACAGCATATAATTCCCTTGGATAGACTTAGAAGAAAAATTTGGAATCTATCTTTCACCCATCCACCCATTTACTTCTTTCTTTCTTTTTTTTTTTGAGTTGGAGTCTCACTCTGTTGCCCAGGCTGGAGTGCAGTGGCACTCTCATGGCCACCCCAGTGTCGACCTGCTGGGCTCTGGCAATCCTTCCACCTCAGCCTTCCAAGTAGCCAGAACTACAGGCGTGTGCTACCATGCCCGACTAAGTTTTTATTTATTGTAGAGAAGAGGTCTAGCCAAGTTGCCCAGGCTGGTCTCAAACCCGCGGGCTCAGGAAATCCACTCGCCTCAGTCTCCCAAAGTGCTGGGATTATAGGCTGAGCCACCGAGCCCAGTCCATTTACTTATTTCATGTATAAAAGATCTTAAAACGTAACCAGACATTCACATCCACCTTCCTTGATGTGAGGCTATTTACAGCTTCTCCTACAGTATGGACCTTGGTGGATTCATTCACACTTCCTGTGTCTGAAAGGCGTGCCACATGCTTGCTTTCTAACCCCATCAACTCATGGGAGAGGAAGTCCTAGAATAAGTGTTCACACAAATAATTATTTAAAATGAATTAATAAGCAAAGCATGAATTCATATATCTTTATAATAGTCCTCTTTTAATACCAGAAATGCTTCTGTTTTGTTTTAAAATTTCTGTGTATCTGCCACACAGGAAATAAAATGGTTTAAGAGAAGGAAGTTCTCCTTTCTTTTAAAGTACAGTAAGTTCCCTACATATGAACGAGTTCCATTCTGAGAGTGTGTCTGTAAGTCCAATTTGTAAGTCCAACAAAGTGAATCTAGGTACCCAACTAACATAATCAGCTATAAAGAACCAGCGACATCACCATGCTTTTACGTTTGCTTCTGGACATCCTGGTCTTGAAATAAAGATACTCTACTACTTTCAGTAGTAGACTGTAAGTAAAGTACACAAAGCACAACCGCTTGTAGAGGATGCATGTATGTGACAATGTATGCCACTCAGGTGAACTAACTTATGTGATTGGACTTGAGAACAAGTTTACATCTCTGAAAGTTCGCAACTTGAACGTGTGTGCATAGAAGACTTACTGTACCTCCTTTGGAGGGCTCCTGGGGATCAGTGCTTTCAGGTGGGTAGCCATTCATTTGCATCTCAGGGAGAGGATCAGTCAGTCCCACAGGATGAGTCTCATACCTGGGCTTCTCACCTGGTAGTGCACAAAGCGCATGTCTCGGGAGTAGAGTGCTGCAGTCCACTGGCAGCTCTGGCCAGGGTGGATGGCTCTGGCCAGCTGCTCCAGCGTTCTCTGGTGGTGGGGGTAGAACTTGTGGGCCAGGGTCAGATGCAGCTGCTTGGTGCAAGGCTTCACGGTGCAGTCTGTGAAAAAGGAAGCACCGGGAGCACTGTGACCTAAGTGATACCTCCTGCCTCTACCCCTGCACTCCCTCTGCTTCAGTCCTTCCTCAACAAGGCAAGAACTCAGCCCCTACTGTGGCATCTCAGAGCTCATGTCATAGAGGAGAGGGTTGGACACCTTGCGGATCTTTCCAGGAAGTAGGAAAGAGGAGGGTGTGGAGACGTGGGTTCAGGGTCTTCTGGGCCTATCGATTGGTAAGCTAGTTGCCCAAACAAATGATTCAAATGAAGAGTAAACAGTTCATTTCTTGGGGTGTGCACACTACTCAGCGGCTAAATTCACAGGCTTGAGCCCAGCTGAATGGCCTTTTGTTCAACTGTAGAGTTTCCAGAGGAAAACTCCTTAAGCAACAGAACTCTAGAAAACATTGTCTGTAACATTCGTCTCACTTTGGTCCAGCAGGAAGTCCCGGGAGAGGCCAAACTCCAGGTCTCTTTGGTTGCCTCCTGCCCCTGTGGCCCCAGCCCGCCTGGTCCTCTTTCAGGGCTCTCAGGTCAGTGAGCAGAGCGACCAGTGTCTCCGAAGCAGCCAGGATCTGATTTCAACTGGGCTGCAAAGTATTTGATGTCCCGGAGAGGTGATCATCGGTGTCTTAACAGGACCAGCACAAACTCCAGCGTTGACTAGACCTGGCTGTAGACCCTATTCTGCCCCTATGAACAGGGTGACCTTGGCCGCACCTTGGCCTGACTAGTTCCTTTTTGGCAGCAATGGCTGGAGCACAGTGACAGCTGCCTGCCAACTGCGGTGGGAAACTGGTCTCTTAGTGTAGATCTCCCGCTGGAGTCTGCTCTCTTTCTGTGCACAGTGGCCACCTGCCACCTCTCCACGGCAAGGCACTTGCACACAAACAGGGTCCATTTGCCCCTAAAACATGCCAGCCCTTCCTGGGACCTCTGATGTGGCGACCCACAGAAGTCTTCCATGCTAGGGGTGAGCCTTTGTAGCAAGTAAGAAGCTGCCATGGTCTCTCAGCAAGTCCCAAACACCTGGGGCTGAGCAGCCCAGAGCAGGGGTGTGTGGGTGGCAGGGAATTTCCCTTTCTGACACTTTTCAGTCATGGGGGAGGATGGCCTTCCCTCGTGAGTGTGAGTGGTCTGGGAAAGACCCACTGTGGGCTGTCACTGCAGTGACATCATAGTGAATCACACCTAACTTGTGAATGGACCCTTTGTCTTTCCTTCTTTTGAGGTCCTATGCCCATGAGAACGCTTCACTGGGGAAGGCCAGTGTGGGCAGAGTGCCTTTCACACTCACTCTGAGAGGGAATGGGGACACTTCAGAGCAGTGACTGGCCACTTGTCACAGAGGGAAGTCCCCCCAACCCTCTTGGGGTCAGGCTGAGGGCCACAGAAGGGCAGGATACAGCTTGCTCAGGGTTGGGACATGGGCCTGGGCCAAAGCTGGCTCCCCCAGGAAGTGGGGCAGGTCAGCACAAACCCAGGTGACTTGGAGCAGGACATAGCCAGGTCCAACTTCCATCTTCCCCAGACTGGTGAGGGAATTATATTGGTTTCCAACAACAGAGATTTATTCTCTGCCAGCTCTTGAGACCAGAGGTTCAACATCAAGGTGTTGTCAGGGCTACACTCCCTGAGGGCTCCAGGGGAGGGTCCTTCCTTGCCTCCTCTAACATCTAGTGGCCCCAGATGTCCCTTGGCCTGTGGCTGCATCACTCCAGTATCAGCTCCTGTTAGCATGTGGCCTCTTCTCTTCTTATGAGGTCCCATCCACTCAGTGTAACCTCATCTTTACTAATTTATTTTTTTGAGTTGGAGTCTTACTCTGTCACCCAGGTTGGAGTGAATGGCACACTCACGGCCACTGCAGCCTCTACCTACTGGACTCAGGCAATCCTTCTGCCTCAGTCTTCCAAGTAGCTGGAACTACAGGAGTGCGCTACCTTGCCCAGCTTATTTATTTATTTTGATTTATTGTAGAGACAAGGGCTTACAAGTTGCTCAGGCTGGTCTTGAACCCCTGGGCTCAGGCGATCCTCTCACTTTGGCCTCTTTAAGTGCTGGGAATACAGGCTTGAGCCACTGCGCCCAGCCTCATCTTTACTAATTATATCTGCTGTGACTCTACTATCAAATGAGGTCACATTCTGAGGCTCCAGGTAGACAGAGAAGTTAGGGGATACTATTCAACTCAGCATGGTGACCTTGGGTAGGCTCTTTACACTGCTGTCTCAGTTACCTCATTTCCAAGATGAGGTCAACGAGACCCACCCATGGGTGTCATAAAAAACAAGTGAGATGCTATACCTGCCATGAAGTCAGTGGCTGACTGTCACATCATGGCAAGAACCAGAGGGCAAGACATCAAAGGGCCATCATTTGATAAAGAAGACGATTCTCCAAAGACCTGGAGTTACTTTATGATTATCTCAAAATATCCCCAGACCCACGAGCCAGCATCCAAAGAAAACCGATTTATTTATGGGCCAGGATCTGCATTTCATACTTGTCGGAGGATAGGGACAGGCACGACTCCTGAGGAGAGGAAGGGAGAAGTCCTTCCACCACATACCCCACAAATATCAGCGTCGGCAAATCACGACAATATTGACCCCTTTTGTGTGCCAAGAACTAGGGAGGCAAGCTTCCCCATATTGGGCAACATCGTTCTTGAAAAGTGAGAACTCTCATCACTTAGTAGAAAGAGAAAAAAGACACAAGGAGTTGCAGGGACGTGACTGAGGTTGTGCCACAGGATGCAGAAAAAATTCACATCTTCTGACATCAAGTCCAGAACTCCTTCCACTAAGCCCCAGTGATGGCCTTGGTCTCCAGACCAGGGCTGATGCTTGGAGTAAAGGAAATTGCTGATTCTCAAAGTGAGTCTTAATAATCTCTTCCTGGCGAGGCCAAGAAAAGAGGAATAAGATCATACTGAGAAAACTGATATAAATCAGGTGTGTTTCTCCCACGTGAGGACAAGGGCTGGGGCGGCCCTGACTCTCTTTATGTAATACCCTATGATCCTGTCATCTTGTGACTACTCCACTCCTGCTGGATGCTTGGAACACCTTCCTGGGACGGTTTCCCAGGCCACTAGCATACAACTAAGCATTTTGAAAAGCCATATCAATGCAAACAAGACTATTCCTACCCAAAGAGAAGAGCTTGGTTGGTCTAGAAGCTTCCTATTTGCTTACTTTTTTTTTTTTGAGTCAGAGTCTTACTCTGTTGCCCAGGCTAGAGTGCAGTGGCATGATCACAGCTCACTGCAGCTTCAACTTCTTGGGCTCAGGCTTCTGCCTCAGCATCCTGAGAAGCTGGGGCTACAGGTGCATACCACCATTCCCAGATAATTTTTTTACTTTTTATAGAGACTTAAACTTCTGGGCTCAAGCAATCCTCTTGCCTCAGCCTCCCAAAGTGCTGGGATTATAGGCATGAGCCACTGCACCTGGCCTCTATTTTACTTACATTTTTGAATGACTCAGTGGCTTATTAAAGAGGCTCTAGTTATGTTGTTCAGCCTCAGGTCAAGGCTATGTTCACTGAGAATTGGGGACTGGAAATAGCTTGGGCAAAGGCAGATGTGGCCACTGAGGCCAGAAGAAGCCCCACCCAGCTGTCTGACCGCTGCTGCAGGGCTCTGCTCCCCTGGAATTGACCTACTGCAGGGAGAGCACAGCACCTGCCACAAATGGCTCACTTACTCTTAAACATGCCCGACATTTGCTGATGGCTGGGGCTGCCCACCTGCTAAGACAGATGCTTCTGTGGCAAAGGTCATGGAAAATTCCCGGATGATGTCTGCAGGGCTGCCGTTCAGGAAGAAGCCGAGGTAGCTGATGGAGGAATGGAGAACCAGAGGGACAGCCGGAGGGAAGGAGCCCAGGATCCTGTCTCCAGCCCTCTTCAGAGCCTCATACAAACTTTCCACCTTCTGGTCTTCACACTGGGGGAAATGGACAGAAAATGTGTTTCCTCACCTCTTGATAGAAAGCCATCTATCAATTTAATTAATTAAAATCATGCAGCATCAGACTTTTCCATTCAAAACCCTATGTCATAATGAATCTAGTCCCTCTGTCTGGGGTTATGGATTTTGCTCAATATCCAGACCTCAGTGTTTTACATATTTCAGGTAAAACTCTTTTTGGAATGGAATCTCCTTTGGGTGCCCAGGCTGGAAATCTCCTGGTCACTCTAACCGCATCCCCACCTTCCACATCACATCGATGCAAACCCCGAATCACATCCTGAGCCAGTCAGTCCCTTTTCTCTTTCCCATGGCCCATGGCTTTGCTCAGGTTTGTGTGCCTCAAATTCTGGTGGTTTTCGGCAGACTCCGAGGCAGCCGTGGGGCACTGCTCAGAGCCACAGCGAAGAGGAGTTCACCTCCAGATGCCCGGCCTTCAGATGGCAGCAGTGCTATGCCCTCAGTCACAGCTGAGCACATGGGGGACCACATGGGGGACTCCAGCCGGGTCAGGTCACAGCTTCTGCGTGGGCTCTTCTAAGGCATCTGGCTCTGCCCACAGCCCCCTCCTCTCTCCTTTGCCCATTTCTTTCTCCTCCTCTTTTATCCTTCACCGGGTAAATCTCTTGTGCTTGGAAGTCTTCCTTGAATTTGCGCCTTGGAGGGCCTGAGTCAGCAGAGACCCGGGCCCACCTCCCTGCTGCCCCTCCGTGTCACTGCACAGGGCTCCTCGGGACACTCTTCCTGCCTTGCCACGCCCCACCCCAAAGTGGCAGGCATCTCTCTGTCACCTGGAGAAATCCACCTCAACCACCCAGCCTGCCCACCTAGGCCTGATCTGTGCTGGCCCGCCACCTCTTGCCCACGCCCACCTCAGGCTCCAGCCATACGCAGCGTCCCCTGGTGTCTGGTTTCGGTGCTTGCATGCCGCCCTGGCCCAGGCCGTTTCCTGGGCTTGAAGACCCACCTCGGCTCCACTAGCCACGTGGCACCATAGTGAAAATGCAGACACTGCGCCCTCCAGCGGGAGATGGGCGCCGGGCCCTGCTCTTCCCCACTGTCATCTCTCTTCGGAATTTTTCACAGTGCTTGCTCTTCTATATTCCATATTATAGCGTGATTCTCATCTCCCCTTGGAGAGAGGTATTCCCCACACTCCGCCCTGTCCTCTTTGCAACTTGTGCAGGGCCTACGCAGGGACAGCACCCATGCACAACCACCAGGCGAATGGATATCCGTTCATCAATCCCACACATTGTAGTTCTTGGTCTTGGATACCTAATTCTTGAGCATAGTTGTGTCATAAACGGGGCTATGGTCAGCATCATCCTTTGGTGAGCTAACATGTTCATCTTATGATATAAAGACCTAGAGTGAATCTCTTCAATACTCTTCCACCTGCTCAGTTGACCACAGTGGAGACGGATGTGGGAGGTGTGTGTCCGTGTGTGTGTGGGTATCTGTGTCTTGTGTGTGTGTGCAAGTATGTGTGTCAGCGGTGTATCTGTGTGTGCCTATATATGTGTCTATGTGTAACTGTATGCCTGTGTGTTCTTTGTGTGTTTTCTATTGTGTGCGTGTGTGTGTGTTTGTGTCTGTGTCTGGGAGTGTATGGGTGTATCTGTGTATGTGCATGTATGTATGTAAGTGTGTGGATCTGTGTGTGTCTTGTGTCTCTGTGTGTGTATGTCTATGTATGTGTATGTCTGTGTATCTGCATGTCTGTGTGGGTATATCTGTGTATTTGTGCATGTCAGCATGCGCCTGTGTAAGTATGTGCATATGCGTGTGGGCATTTGTGTATCTGTATGTGTATGTATGTGTGTGTGTCTGTGTCTCTGTGTGCATATTTCTGTGTGTGCCTCTGTGTGCATATCTGTGTGTCTGTGTATCTGTGTGTCTGTGTGTTTATCTCTAGGTGTTTGTGTGTGTCAGTGTGTGTTTGTGTGTATATGTGTACTTGTGTATGTGTACATGTATGTATGTGTGCATCAGTGTGTGTGTGCATACACCTCAGTGGCTTACAGGGAAGGAGCTGGAGGCACTCTGCTCTCTCTGCAGTACTTGGGCATGTCTGCTTTCTGAGTTGTTTCTCTACCAACTTGGGCTGCCTTTCCTCTCCCAGCAAGGAGTCTGCTTGTCATAGATGCCATCCATGTCAACACAGGGTGACCAACTCACTCAGTTTGCTTGGGACTTTCCTGGGTTTAGTCCCATGTCCCAGGAAGCCCCCAAGTCTCGGGCAATGTGTGGTGGTGTCCGGAGGCTTTGGAAGGAGCCACTTCTCCTGGATGTCTCTGGAAATCTCTTCCCAGCGAGCTCAACCTCCCCCTTTCCATCAGCATGGAAGGACCTGGAGTTGGTGTGGGGGATTCCTCGGGTCCTGCAAGATCTCTTGAAGAGGATGGAACAAATCCATCTGCCACAGCAGAGTTGGGGTGGGCCAGGGAGTGGAAGCAGAAGAGGGTGTGCCCTCTTCCAGCCTCCTGTGGCAGCAGTCACAGAGGAAAGATTGTCTGTCCTTTCCTCCTTCACTCCCATGTTTCCTCCTGCTCTCGGGAATGGCTCCCCACATCCTTCTTGCCTTCGTAGCTGTGGGGCTGCCCATTGGACTATTTTCAAAGTCAGAGGGCTGGTTCCTGAGACAGGGCAAAGTTCTACATTTGTGACTAGCCGACAATTGCCCATTCTTCAGTTCTCTCATCACACATTCAGGAAGCACTTGGCGCCAGACTAGTGTTGGCGTTGCAAAGATGAGGAAAGCATCTGACTTTCCTTTAGGGACTCAGCCTGGTAAGGGAGGCAGAGTTACACAGACATGCAGCCCACCTAACATGAAAGTGCCACTAGAGATGTGAGCAAAAAAACATGGGCAACATCTCCTTTTGCCTGGGGAGTGGAGATGACTTTAAAAAGGGAGTACATAAATTGGGTCCTGAAGGGTAGATAGAAGTTGACCAGATGAAGGTGAGGAGGAGAGTAAAAGACAGTTCACATGCAAAGGCCAGCTGATGCTGCAGTTCTGGACCATCCCATTAAAATAAATCAGTTTTGTCCCACCATTGCTTAGTTATCACAGAAATATGTCTTCAGCTGCCATGATGGTGAGCATCAGACACACTGGGGCCGACTCACCGTGAAGAAGTCACAGAGTGTCACGTGCGGGAAGACCTCGTGTGCCCTGTTCTTTGCACACTGACGCTTGCTCTCTCTCCAGAACTCTTGAAGTTTTTCCAGCAGGGGCCCCGTGGGACAGAGGAAAAGGGCATACTCCTGGGGGATGGGGTCGTCTAGGGAAGGGTCATTGCAATGACAACGCAGCCTGCAAAAGAGAACAGGCTGCCTTCACCTGGTGTTACGCCAAGAAGATTTGTCTTCATCGTGGACGAGCAACAGGAAAGACAGAAATGTGGAATCACGGGGCCCGCTGAGCACTTGACATCATCTGTGGGTCACATCAGTGAATCCCCCAATCATCCCATGGGTCGGTGCACCCGCAGAGACTGTCTGGACCACAGACCTGGTCAGTGCCCACCCACTCTCAGACCCGCGTGAGTCTGATTCCAAAGCCAAAATAGAGAACATGAAAGAAAGGCGGCAGACTCAAAATCTGTTCTTCAAATGATGTGTGGTCCAAGCATTGCTCAGGTGCTAAAAATTTTTGTAGAAAAAACTCACATTATTATTTTATCCCAAACTTCAATTAAATATAAAAATCAAAATCACAAAAACCAGGCAATATCTAGATTTTCTTTTGATTCAGAAAGTTACTCTAAATTCAAGGAAAAACTATGCAGGACTCAACATAGGAGTTCATTCTCACTAATAATAAAAATGAAAATGAAAACATCCACGAGACACCATTTTTCTCTTCTGTTAATTTAACAAAGATTTTTTAAAAAAGGTTAAAAGTCATACTCAGTTGTGTCAAAGGTGCATCAAAACTTAAGGATGAATGTGGACAGCCTATGGGAAGCACTTGGCCAATATGTATCAAGAACTGTAAGACATCCATCCCCTATAAACTAATAATTCTGCTTCCAGAAATTATTTTCTTTGGTTTCAAGGAAATTTAAGTAGAAAATTTAGGGATAGCCTTTGTTTGATAGAATTCCCGTTCAAATGTCCCTGCAACCTGCATTTTTTACTCCACAATGTTTTTGCAACTTATCTCTGGGGATCCATGCACATCTGGCTAAGCCCATCAGTGAAATTCTTTGGAAGGCTGTATAACTGCATCGTATCCTTATGTAATGTTGCATCTGTTCATTCTCATGTTCATGGGCATTTAAATTGTTCTCTTGTTTTAATTTCGCAACCTTGTCATCAAGATCTGTGTACACGTCTCTTTAGGTTCTTTGTGTTTCTCCAGCGAATAGACGTGCTTAGATGTGCAACTACAGGGCGGTCATCTGTACACATTGTCAAGGTTGACAGACACCCACCATACCTTCCACAGTGACACCAACCAAGTGTGAGGCCACCCCATTCCTCACCCTCAGCAACACTTGAAGCTATTTTTATTGTTTTAATAATATCTTAATTTACATGTCCCTGATTACTAGCAAGATATTGAGCCACTCTTAGCCAAGTCTGTGGGCACCCACTGCCCCTTCATTTCTTGGAGGGTCTTCGAGTCTTACTGACTGAGTAGTAACATGCAGGGGTTTACCATGCCCCACAACAGTAGTGGTCTTGGTTTTTTATATTTTTAATTTATTTAAAAAAAATTTTTAAAGATGTGGGGTACAATTCAGGGTTAGGTATACAAACGTTGATTATGCAGGT